TAAACGTTTGTTTGAAAAAAACAAATTATTTGTTCACACCCCCATGAATAGGCCTCGTGCATGGTTGAATTATGATTATTCCATGATAATATTCATTTATCAAGTGAGAATATATATTTCTTCACCCACACCAAACGATATTATTTCAAAATCTATGTTTTTAGTAACCAAATATTTATTCATCAGTACAGCATGAAAAGAAACATTTTATTGATAATAAATAAATATTTTGTTCGCTGATATAATTCAATGTCTTCATTTCAGAAAAATTGCTTATTGATTAATTAAAATCCCTGATGTACTACCACCACTCGTGGATCACCCCGAGGGGGTGTTTCTAAGCCTTATATCGATAAAAAAATTGGTAACAGTTGACGAATATTATTTATATAAGTATATAACCAAACAATGGGGAAGACCACTGAGGGAAGAAATCCGTGCAAACCTCTTTCAATCGACGAATCATGATTTACGTTTGATCTACAATCAATATTATGAGTTGAAGTTGAAGGAAATCGAATCTAAATCGTTTTGAAATCAGCATATTTCATTCGTTATTTCGAAAAGCCAAATATGATGGTGGAGCTGTGACGTATTAGTCCCGCACTGTACCTATCTCTCTCTGATACCTCGTCATTCTGCAGTGTTGCAGTGTGATTGGTGAGTTCAAGAACAATAGGCGTGTTGGGACTAAGACCAGTCTCACCAATGAATTGACAAAATTTCAAATGGCGCAGGAATTGTGTGTTTATATAGAAATGGACATATTCTAATTTATTTTTTTCATCGTCTTAGTATGAATGAAGAAATTCAAAATTGATTCACTGGTAGTTTTTCAGTATAGAGTTCACGATAATGTCGTTTCAAAAAATCAGTGGTCTCCCCCATTCGATCAGGGCTGGTTGCGTAAAAATGCATACTACATAGGTATTCGCACCTACTTACGTTCAAAATGTTCCAATATTGATTGATAAGCACCACATGCACCACAGTTTTTTTGAAAACATACTAAATGTTGTATAATAAATGTACTGATATAGTCGTCTGCCATTTTTTTCATATGTGATGTCGTACCTTATCCCAAGAAGCTAATTGTAGACGTAAATATACATGTCCAAATGTAAATAAACCCGCACTGTCATATAGGGATTGAACTAATATAACAATCACACTTCATAACTTTCGCGATGGTCAAAATCACAAGGAAATCATCAACGATTTCATGAAGATACTCCCGACATATTAGATGGAAGCTTAACTAAAACGTTGGCCCATGCGCATGATAGTTTTTTAATTATTAACAAATAAATTATTATTGTTACCAAACGAAAAATAAAATGAAATATCTATTGTTATCCATTATATTACGTATATTTATAATAAACAAAAGTATCATATAATAAATAAACAGATAGATTTATAAGTAGACAACTTAGAAAATCTTGCTGCTGTACCTTGGTCATATTTTTCGAAGTGCTTGGTTCATACTAACAGATGCATCAGAATTAATAATAGCTCGTGATTGGTGTTTTCCTTGCCCCACTATATCATCAGCTGCATATTCTTTGACAAGAAATCGGTTGTTTCTGCAGGAACAAACATTCAGTACTCAAATATATAGTTCGTTTGACATGATGGCACCCTATGCCAATGATGGAGTGAATTGACACCACTATACACGGTTTTATCAAATTTCTAATAATATCGATATAATATTGCTAATAAAGTGTTGATTCAATCGGAGTTATTTCTGAAATCCACTCGATTGAGATAACACCCGAACATTTTTCACTGTGTATGAACTTTTTCAATTGAAATGATGAGATATATAATCCATTTAAGTTTTTACCTCAAAACCTGAATCACCCTTTATATCCCAATGGGACTGAAAGGGTTAAAGAAAAATAACTCAAACCTCGAGCTGATTTCCATCCATATTTTCCGGACTATATAGAGCGCTCATCAGACTACCTTGCACACCTCGACGGCTCCAATGCATACATGGTGTGCCCATGCCCATCGGGTAGTGGGTGGACTTGCGGACCCACGAAAGGTAAACGAACTGCCTTGATCGAGTGAAGTGGCCGAGGGCGAGAGATGGTCGTTCTGCAGGTAGTACCACAACTGCGAGAACCTGCCTGATGGGTGCCTGCACGCAGAAGTATAAGGTACGTGTGCCCACGGAGAACCAGATCGTACTGTATAATTCGGTCGGTTTACTCGAAAATGCCAAAATGAACTAAGATCCATCATGGACAGATATAATAATATATTGTTATTGACGAGGGGTAAACCGCGGTGGAATTCTAGTGTACAAGCAACTGGAATTCCTTGGAATTCCTCGGAATTCCTTGGAATTCCTCGGAATTCCTTGGATTTCCTTGGAATTCCTTGGATTTCCTTGGAATTCCTTGGATTTCCTTGGAATTCCTTGGAATTCCTTGGAATTCCTTGGATTTCCTGTGAATTCCTTGGAATTCATCCATATTTTTACCTCAACGCATGCTCAGGCATTCCCTGGATTTTCTTGGAATTCCTTGGAATTCCATGGATTTCCTTGGAATTCCTTGGAATTCTTTGGAATTCCATGGATTTCCTTGGATTTCCTTGGAATTCCTTGGAATTCCTTGGAATTCTCTGGAATTCCATGGATTTCCTTGGAATTCCTTGGAATTCCTTGGAATTCTTTGGAATTCCTTGGAGTTCTTTGGAATTCCTTGGAATTCCTTGGAATTCTTTGGAAGTCCTTGGAATTCCTTGGAATTCCTTGGAATTCCTTTGAAAACTGCATCCTCTTTTAGAAGAGAATGTATGTGATGGCAGCTCCCGCTATTTTTGTAGAACACTATTGGACCACAGATTGATCTGTGATTGGACCTCGCGCGAGATCTTGTGGTAGACATGATGAATGAATGATGTCATCAACGGGCATTCGGGCACAGGTTCGTACATGTTAAAGAAATCAGTTCGCCTGCAGTTTTCGTAGGGTTAGTTGGGTGTATTTAATCTAGAACTTATTCATCAGTTGACTAAAAGATTGGAAGTATTCAGTGACGGTAAGTCTGTTTCAAATGCAAATAGCACTGCTCTAAGTGCTTCAGAATGGATATGATCCTCATCTATTCCTTTCCATTGAATTGATTATCAATCATGTTTCGTAGGTCTGTAAAGGGCGAGGTAAAGGGTGAACTCGGGTGGACGTCATGTCATCGAATTCTCTCGACGAAGATCTACACGAGGCAGAGTGTTTACTCAACATTAAAATTCCAAACGAGTTGAAGAACATTTTGATTATTAACGGGTATAATTCCTTGCGAGTGATTGGAGAAATTACTGATGATGATATCGCTGATATAGAATCATTTGCCCGAGATAATCTTCCGGATATGATTGCCAAAGAAGAGTACAAAAATTTTTTCGGATTTTTCAGTAATTGTCCACAAAAATTTTCTATTTTGAGTGGTCATAAAAAAATTTTGAGAATACTAAGAAACTATTGTCAAACTAAATTTTCTGATAATGTTGTGAAATCGAGTGGAAACCACATTCAAGACAATTCGGATAAACCTGGTCAAGCTGATGCGATTTCTGAATCAGAATCTTCGACAAGTTCTCAGCAGAGATTACCTCCTAGATCACTCATGAAAAGAAAGTTGACGAATCTTACAGAAGAAAATACGACCATACAAAAAACGATTACATCATGGATTAAATCTACGTGCGGTGAGGAACGATGGGATCATTACAAAAACCTCTGCAATGAAATTAAAGTAACCTGTGAAATTAGAGACCACGACTTGAGGTGCACGGTTACATGCTTCTGTAAAAACAAGTTGACTCTTTGTCAGAATGCACGGAAATCGTCAACATGCAAGAGATGGATTTATGGAAATTTCCATAAACATTTTCAACTCCACTTGAAGAAAAATAATAAACCCATAATTGCAAGAAAGCAGACTATCGATAACTTCTTTCAAAATTGTCCGAGAGATATTCCTATGGCATCACTCGCATCAAACGAATGTTTGAATAATGATGATCTTGATCACCATCAAGACAATTGCTCGCAGAATTCTGACACAAATGATGAATCAATTCATTCTACACTGACTTCTATATCAGAAGTTCAATGTACATCTCGGTCTACACAGAGTCTGTCACCTTCCATTATACCATCTATAAATATACTACAAAACATAGATTTGAAATCTAATCCACTAGAGAAATCTGATTCTGAAGATCATCGAGGTAAGTTCCAAAAAAATGTACTAGACCATTCAAATACTCTTGGGATTAACGAAACTAGAGAAAAAAAATGGAAATCTGAAAAATATTCTAGAAAGGAAAGATTTCGTCGAAAAATTGAGAAATCTGACCCACAACAAAATTTAATTACGAATTTCTACAGTGTTATAACAAATGAAATTGGAACATTGATTACAGAAAATTCTGAAAAAAATTCTGATCTAACAAATGTTTTTTTTGAAAATTTTAATTTTTACAATGACTGTGAATATAAACGAGGTGATCACTGTAACATATCAAGTGACGAGGTCGAATATAAGTTAGGTTCGAAATCAGACCAAGATACTACTGATATAGTCTCGGATATAGTTGCTGAGGATAAATATTTTGTTAAAAACAAAATTGGCAATTTTTTGAAAAAGTTAGTTGATGTATCAAGGAAAAATTCTATTTGTACTCCAAATAATCATAAATTTGAGGACTCATTAAAAAAAATATCTTTATACATATATTATATAGGTGGGAGACTTCTCTATGAAACATTGTACAGTAATTTAAGAGATACACTTCCATCATTATCCACTCTGAATAGATTTGTTGAAAAACAAAGCAAGAAACTTGAAGAAGGCGTATTTGATTTTCGAGGATTGAGTGATTTTTTAACAAAAAGAAATCTCCCTAGAATTGTTTGGATAGCAGAAGACGGTACTCGAATAACTGGAAAGATTGAATATAATTCGAAAACGAATAAGATAATGGGATTTAGTCTACCACTAGATGAAAGAGGTCTTCCAAAAACTGATTCATACATAGCATCTTCAGCTAAAAAAATCAGGCAGTTTATTTTGGGAAATGAAAAAGCTGGTTATGCGTATGTTATAATGGCTCAACCTCTCTCAGAAAGTGCTCCATCATATTGTTTGTCAATTTATAGTACGAATAATAAATTTACATTCAGAGAAGTTATGCAAAGGTGGAAATACATGATCGAAGAAGCGGAAACGTTCGACATCAAAATAATGGGGTTTTCTTCTGATGGGGATACTCGATTACTCAAATCAATGCGACTTGCTAGTAAACTCTCCAATTCTTCGGTATCATCTTCATGGGAGTGGTATCATATAGATGAATTGAACTTTAGGGGTTGTAGTTTTGTACAAGATAGTGTCCACATTGCCACAAAACTGAGAACAAGGTTCCTAAAATATTCGGTTGTTATTCCTCTAGGAAAGTACTTAGCATCGGTTAGCCATCTGCAAATTGTTATTCAGGAGTTTTCAAAAGAAAAACATTTGCTATGTCCATCTGATCTGAAACCGGAAGATAAAATGAATTTCCGGTCAGCCGAGAAAATGTATTCTGAGAAAGTTAGGCAATTTTTGAAATCCGTACCCTTGAGTGAGGGAACGGAAGCTTATCTCAGGATAATGCAATATTCAGTCACTGCATATTTGGATAAAGATATGGAGATACATACCAGAATTTACAAAATATGGTACGCTGTATTTTTTTTACGAATCTGGAAGCAGTGGATTTCAGAAAACAGTCATTATAATTTACAAAATAATTTTATTTCTCAAAATTGTTATATTTCAATTGAGTTGAACGCTCATAGTTTGCTCGGCTTAATAAAACATTTTCGTATCCTAAACCTGGATAACTCTTTATTCACTCCATGGCTATTCAGCAGTCAAGTTTGTGAAAAATTATTCCGTGCAACACGATCAATGACTTCCACTTATTCTACGGTAATCAATTTCAGTATCAAAGATATCCTAGATAGAATCAATAGAATTTCTTACATTAATCTGATATTGAATGACTTGAATAATGAGTTTGTTTTTCCGCGCGAGCAAAAAAATAGGAATAGTACGAATCTGGATAATATTGCAGATTTAACCGACGAAAGCATAGCCTCAACAGTACATAAAGCATTATCTGATGCTTTAATTTGCTCCACTAATTTGGGAATGACGGTTTCCCCTGATTCTTGGCTACAAGTGAAACTGTCAGATAGAGCCAACGAAGAAATTTTGAATATTGAACAAGATAATTTGGAAGATAATGAAATCGAAATTGAAGATCTGAATGTTAAAACTACAGAATCTAAATACTCAATCGATAATGTCATCCAAAATGTATTACAAGCAACGGATATTGATAATTTGGACAGCGAAAAAGATAGGTTTGAAGACATTTTGGATATGTCTGAAATTGCAGCCATCAGAGGAGATTTGCAGTTGAAAGATTTTCCCGAATATAAATCTACTATTTCTAATAATAGTCCTTTCGTCGAAGTTATCGTGGAGGGAAAAATACGAGTTCTGAAGAAATCTTCTCTTTGTTGGCTTTTTGATCAAACAGGTGAACGTATAAGTACTGATAGGCTCAGGAGATTTATCGCTAACACATCGAATAAAAAAATTGCCCCACTGAATGAGTTGCCCATTGCTGATAAAACAAACAGGGTGATTGAAGTAAAAGAAAACATTTCGGTTACCGATTGGTGTATTTTCAAAATTCCAGATTTCATCATCAATACCAATTCGAATATATTGCAAAATTATATTATCGGCCGTATCTTGTCTTTCAGATATATGAGTGGTAAGAACTTTCAATATTCATTAGATTCTGCACCAACCACTATCAATTTAAAACGACCAAAACGTTGTTTAGGATGTGTCTGTTCTTGGTATCAATTGGATGAAACAGGAGCTTTGATTCCGATAGAAACAGAAATACAAAAGTATTACAACATTTCCAACTATAAAGCTACAATATCCCCTCATATATTCACATATGATGTCAATTTATGTAAACTTGTTATCAATCATGAGAATAATTTTCAAACAATAAAATCTTTTCCACCAAATATTCCCAAGAGACAAATATTGAATGATGATTATCTAGAATTTTCTTCAGATTCCGATGTTACTTCAAATTCCTCGTACAATTCTAATGAACATTTTTCTCTTGATGATTCGACAGATATGGAAGACTTTTCCGTAGAACAAACAAAAACTGATTCACTGAACAATGAGGACTCAAATGAAGATGAAATTGAGCATGAAAAATATTATGCCACATATTATGACTCTCAGTGGTATATTGGAAGGCTGATAGACAAAGTCGAGAATGAGATGGAAACAGGAGATAGCAGGAATTGTTACTACCGGCTAAAATTTCTACATCAAAACCTACAAGATTTTTTTTGGCCAAAGACCCAAGATGTCGACATGGTTTTGAGATCACAAATATTTTATGGTCCAATAACTATGATTGGATGTGAACCACTGCGGATTTCTCGAGAAGATAGGGCAAACATAGAGAAAAAATATAGAGATTTCAAGAAAGACCTATAGTTTCAGATACCTATATTCATCCTTATTTTATTTTGGTAGAAATGCTGCTAGGTTACCTGTATTAGTTGTGATAGAAGAATTATTTTTAGTTACCTCATAGACAGAAGAACTGGGCCTTGTTTTTTATTATTAAATGTTTGATTTTTTAATCCCGTATTTCATTTTTTTTCAAGTGTGATTGTAAATTTCCTTAATTAATCATTATTCATTAGAATGCCCTAGAAAATCTTGAATTTTCTTGAAGTTTATTGGAATTCCTTGACATTGTTTGGAGTCCCTTGGAATTCTTTGGAATTCCTTGGATTTCCTTGGAATTCCTTGAATTTCTTTGGAATTCCTTGGAATTCCTTGGAATTCCTTGGAATTCCTTGGATTTCCTCGGAATTCCTTGGAATTCCTTGGAATTCCTTGGAATTCCTTGGAATTCCATGGAATTCCTCGCGAAAATGAAGTTTAGTGTACACATTTTCGACCGCGGTTTACCCCTCGGTTATTGACAACTGTCAACCTATAAGCAGCACAACTTCCAAAGAGAAATATTTTGCATTTTCATGTTGAGAACGGGAGCAGATTCGGTCCCGAATCGTCCAAAGATAAGTAAAGATTCGATATTTTTTCAATATATCTATATTTATTTCCTTCAAACATTTTTTCAAACAAATTGTCACTGACAAGCTACTGGATTTTTCTTTTAGACTCCCTGATAGAAACTTTTTTAAACGCAGTGACATTTTGGGGCAAATCATCTGATTTGTCCCTCTTCAAATATATTGAAATAATACGAATATTTTTATTTTAGAGAAACGAGGAGAGAAAATCCCAAAAAATCAAGTAAAATGAATATACCACCTCCTCGATTAACCTACAGACAGTATTTGGGAAACTTATCATTTTCACAGTCCTCGGTAAAACTGCATTTATCATGCGATGGTTTTTTTTTTTCGAATACGTTTCTTGGTCTGGTATTTTTGACTGAAAAACACGAATTTCATTATGAAAATGTGAACAAACCATTATTTATTGAGATATTTCACCATAAAGTTACAAATTTCACCTTCTTTTTGCCTGTGTTCTGTATCGCATTTAGAACGATTTGCCCTTCTTTTTTCATCATTGGACAATTTATATATATCACAATGTACGACCCATTTTCTTCTATTATATGAGTCAACTAGAAATATGATTTTCTTGTGATGTTTCCATATTTAGTGAAAAGAAGGAAGAATATAATTTAAAATAATGGCGTGTGTAATGCCATTCAAAAGCAATCTGTTGACATTTAACATCTGGTATTTGGATTGACTATTGATCAAATAGCCTTCATCTGTTATACTTGTTCACTAAATCATCTCGATAAATAGTAGTTTGTTCACATTTTCATTATCAAATTCGTGTTGCAGACAAAAATACGTAAGTGAAAAAAAAATTTCGAAAAAAAACCCATCGCATGATAAATGCAGTTTTACCCAGTCCGCGCCTCTATCCTTTCCACAATTAAAGAGCCCTTCACTAACTGTCATCACATCTTCAGATATTGTACAACTGAAGACATCTGGTGTTATGAATCGGCATTCTCCCACAATTATCTCACGTAGCACTTCTAGTAATTCGGGTTGCGTGGCATAGAATCGCGATTTCAAAGCGCCTCATAAAAAAGTCCAAGTGTGTTAGGTCTGGTGATCTTGGTGGCCATTCAATGAAACCTCTTTTACAAATTTATAATGACCTGGGAAATGATCATCAAAAAATCGGCATTCTCCCATAATTATCTCACGTAGCACTTCTAGTAATTCGGGTTGCGTGGCATAGAATCGCGATTTCAAAGCGCCTCATAAAAAAGTCCAAGTGTGTTAGGTCTGGTGATCTTGGTGGCCATTCAATGAAACCTCTTTTACAAATTTATAATGACCTGGGAAATGATCATCAAAAAATTGCCACACAGCAACAGCATAAGGGGGTGCGCTATAATATCATTTATTTTATTTATTGATTTATTTATTTATTTATTTCTTACACTGTTCAACTGGTTGCCCCATTTACAGAACAGGAAAAAAGGACAAAACAAAAACGTATGCATCGCATTTTACATAAGCATGATGGATAGACAAAACAATATGACAAAATAAAAATATCCTGACTATATCTAGTTATTCACAGATGAAGGAGAAAAAAGATAAAAAGTATTGACATGAGTTATTCCACAGTTGAACAGATCTAGATTCCTAACCACCAAGTTATATGTACTACACATCTTATACAAAGGTGCATTTTTATACATATTGAGTAGGATGTATCACAATTGCTGGAAGATAATCTCGGGATAATAAAATTCAATTTTTCCAACAAATCTATACAGCCAATCAGATTGTTAACAACCTTATAAAGGATCAGGATAGAGAAGTATCGTCTTCTTACGTGCAGGCTCACAAATTTGAAAGTTTCAAGAAGCACTGAGGTGTACTAATTGGAGGGTATGTACCGCATGACCTGTAACTTAACAGTTCTAAAAACCGTCGTTGCAGACTCATAAAATATACAGAGGAATGAAAATTAGAATGTTGCTCATTCTGGTTAGTAGTCGTATAATATAGTACACCCTGTATCGAAGTTAAGCACGGTTGGATTTCGAGCTATTTCGCAGTCTATCGAATGAATCCCAATAACCATGCTAGTCCCATCCATCACAGGTTCGCCTTAGGGAAGCCATGAGAGCTATCCCAACGATTTTCCATATCTTATTTACACAGCAGACCGGCATGGATAATTTACGATACACTCCAGCCAGATAAATCATATTTCTTTACGCGAAACAGAGAAATATGGTCGCGAAAAGCGAGCAAAAAGGCCTTTACACGTCTACGACTCGTAGCATGTCAGTGGCGTGTCTTGTTTGCCATTTTTCTAATCTACTATATCAGCCTGTTACAGGAAGAGAAGTTCGTGCCAAGAAACAAATGGAAATATTGGAAAATGAATCATGATTTTGTGCTTCAACAGTCACAAAATTATGGATGCAACAGAAACAATGTTTGGGGTTTGATTCACATGAAAAATATTTGAATGTTCGAAATCAGCTTAGTTTTTTCTTGCTCTCTACTATCTTTTGTCCACTGGTTGTGATGTTAACAAAGTAGTTTGAAATCTTTACAATATAATAGATTTAGACTGACGTATATTTTCATCAGTTAATACTATATATACATGTCAGTTATAAAGTTGAATTGGGAATGGGGGTATAAAACTATAGGTACACCGATGAATATCGAATCATTTCGACAGTTCACAGTTGGGACGATTCGGAAATCAAGGAATACTCATTTTATATCTCATCAAAATGAAACAGCTGGCAACACTGGTGCCTTTCCTCTAGAAAAGCCGATCTCACTGTGCCTAACATAAGCTTGACAGGAGTAACCATACCTTTGAAGACATCCATTTCGATGCTTGGTATTACTATCAGCAATAACCTTTCTTGGGAAAATCACGTGAGATCAATTGCTAAAAGTGCATCCCAAAAACTTGGACTTCCAGTCGGCTGCTTTTGATCTATAAGGCACAGATCCGACCTGTCCTGGAATACTGTTCCCATATTTGGAGTGCAGCACCCAAACATACCATGAAACTGTTGGATTCTGTTCAAAAAAGGGCAATTCGTCTCGTGGGTGATGCCTCGTACACAAACTCACTCACTTCTCTGGAACACCGTAGAAAAGTTGGCGATCTGGCCTTATTTTATAGATATTTTCATGGACGATGCTCTTCTGAAATATCAACAATTGTTCCTCCCTTGGCAGTATCTGCGAGATTTACCCGTCGAGTTGAGGCTTGGCACCCCTTCGTGGTCACTTTGGAGACCTGCAGAACATCTCTTTCCAAAGACTCGTTCATCCAACGAACAGCGAGGCTCTGCAAAACATTGCCAAGGGAGGTATTCCCCGAGGCATATAACCTCCAGAAATGTTAAGAAGAACACCAATTCCTACCTTGTTTCCCTTAGTTCTC